ACCTAGTTAGATTGATTTAGAAAAGCCACTGCACACAGAAAATACCAGCCTACCATTACTGAATGGCTTCTTCCTGTGAGGAGTAAGCCAATCCCAGAAGATGGCCTATGACTTTGTTCCTTCTATTTATCTAATGTGCTCTTCTTGGATTAATGATTAGTCACTAACTTGACCAAAATAAATATGTGGGAGATAAATTCTAGTCCTTGAGAACACTTTAATAATTTTGACAAAATATAAGTAATAAAAAATTTTTAAATCTTTATACAAATAATTATTAAATATATAATTTAATATCTGCAAAATATGGAAATAAGACTAAACAGATGCGAAGGTTCCTTCTAGCTCTGTGATTCTCTCTTCAGAGAGGATCTTACAGCATAACTCCTAATTAAACTACTATGTTCAATATAGAAACCACACTGACTAAATTTTACTAAAAGGTATCTGGTCCTTTATTACCTTTATTTTCTTTGGAAATGAATCTGTTGAATTTTCACCTTCTTCTCCTCGGCCTTCTGATACTGAGTCAAATCCCTGACTTTGTGTAAGATAAATTCCCTGACTCCAGTCTGATCCAGAATCTAAAATAAAGAAAACCACTGATAAAGAAAACCATTAAAAAGAAACGAACACTTTTAAACATGTACTATAAAAATTCCAGAAATTTATATAACTTACCACTGGAACATATTTCTCTAGTTTGGTAAGCGTCAGAATGTGTTAATTCAGGAATTGAGGATCCCTAATAAAACAAAAAAACATAACTATTTTTGCTTCATAAAAACAGGGTCCAATGAGGTCTTATTCTTTGTAATGCTGTTTAAAAAAGCTCAATTAAATCTGTAACACATTTCACAATAAATAAAACTATCCATGGCTTACATCATGTCCTTAGTTTTTTTCATGGATATTACCATCAGAAGAAAAAACATTCATGAATTAAGGAACGAAAACATCAGGTTCAAATCTGCACAGGAACTTTGTGGGAAGTTACTATCTGACTGTACACAATGGAAAGATTTAAAATTGTAATTTTATCATAAGGAAGCAAATGTCTGAAATTTCTTTTTCTCTTAAAAACATAGAATTAAAAAAAAAATCTCAGAATGTTGAAAAGCATCTATTAGGAAAACCAAATACCTCTTTAGATCTCAGACACTGTATCACTGCCTTCAAGGCACCACATTCCTCTGTCAGTAACTGAACAGCAACATAGTGTTCCCTCTTCAAGGTTTCCGTTTCTGAAATATGCCTGGATTCCATATCCAAAATTTCAGCAGCATGCAGCTCTTGCATCTGCTCAATTTTATCAGTAAACTGATTGATTATTTCAGCGACTTCTTCTGATGAACATTCACTCTGTAAATCAATTTGGATTCCTGCATTTCTAACACGAATGTGTGGAGTCTGATTGCTGCTATTGACCTTAAGAGTCCCGTCTGTCTGGGATGTGGAGCTTTTACCCACTTTAACAGGAAGTGGCTCTAATATGCAGACATTTCTGTTTTCTTGCACCTCAGTCTTATCTTCTTTTTCTAAGAAGCAGGATAATTTCTCTTTTGCCTCTGTGAGTTGATCCCTAACTTTGCTTAAGTCTTTCTGAAGAAATGCTATATCCGTTTCTTTTACCTAAAACATAATGAAAAAAAAACAACAGAACATTTAGTTTAAAATATTGAATATAGAATTTAGGGTAGAGAGGAGAATATAATTCTTGCTAATATGGTCATTTTCCTCAGAACAGGAAAAACACTTCAGAAACATTCATAGTTTCCATATATATTTGTATACATGTATGGTCACAGATGCCCACAGAAGTGATATTATTTTATCAGCCTCTACTTTGGAGTCTCATGGGATATATAGTTCTCTTTAACATCTGTCTTTCTCCTCCTTCATTGATAGGCTAGAGATTAAAAAGCATCTCCCTTAATAAAGATTCCAAGGAAAACCAAGCAAGAAGATACTAGTAAAGAAATTTATAATAACTTTTCATCAAATTTACAAAAGCTTTTATTTTTTTTCTAGCTTTAAGTCATGAATCTGGTTTGTTTTTATAAAAGAGAATATACTTTGAAATAAAATTAAGATAGAAGTAATTGAATTAGAAGCTATGCTACTTATTTTACCAAAAGCTCTTCTTGAAGTTTTTCTGCCTTTTCTTTATAACTGGCAAGTTCTTCTTTGGTAGCTGCTAACTGAACTCTAAGATCCTCAAGTTGACCANGTAACTATAGTCCATTATCAAAACCAGAAAACTGACATTGGTACAATGAATGCTATTTAAACTACAGGGCTTATTCATATACCATTAGTTTCTACACGCACTCATTCATTTTCTTGGTGTATAGTACTATGACATTTTATCACATGTATAGGTTCATGTAACCACCACCAGTCAGGAAACAGAACTGTTTCATCACCACAAAGAAATTCGTTCGTAGTCACATCCTCTTCCCAATCCTAACCTGGCAACCACTGACCGGTTCTCTATCACTATGATTTTGTCAGTTCAAGAGTGTTATAGTACATACAAGAGGTTGAGAGTATTAACAGTTTGTTACTTTTTAATTGCTGAGTAGTATTTCACTGTATGGATCAACTATAATTTGTTCACCCTTTCACCTGTCAAAGGACATTTGGGTTGTTTCCAGTTTGGGGCCATTACAAATAAAACTGCTATGAATATTCATGTATAGGTGCTTATGGAGACATAAGTTTTCACTTCTGTCAGATTAAATACCTGTGAGTGTGATTTGTAGGTTGTATGGTAAGTGTACATTTAACTTGATGAGAAACTGCCAGGTCATATTCCAGAGTGGTTCTCCCATTTTATACTCATAACAGCAATGTATGAGAGATACAATTTCTCTGTCAGCAGTTGGTGTTGTCACTATTTTGATTTGGGCCATTCTGACAGATATGTAGCAGCCTCAGTTTATTTTAGTCTACTATGTCCCTATGAGTACATTTTGGTAATGCACAAAAATGATGTGTGTCCTTCATGTCAGGAAGTACATGATGTCTGCTGGTTTCATTACTGGGGACATTAACTCTGATACTTGGTTTAAAGGTGGTATCGGCAAGGTTTCTCCACTACAAAGTTACCGCTTTTCTTTTCGTAATTAAAAAGTATTTTCTCGTCCTATGTAAGTATATGTCCCTGACCACATTGTTGACTATTACTATAGTGAGTGTTTAACAAAGGGCGATTTATTAATTCCATTATTTTTTCTACATGCTAGCCAACATTCTACTGTAAGAACTTTTATTCATTTATTATATTAGTATGAACTCATGAATTATTTTATAATTTGTCACTCTTGTTTGATGTTGATCATTTAGTTTGATGTTGAAATTGTCCCAAAGTTAGCCAGTGTGAACTCCGTCAAGCTGGCTTCTGTGATCCTTTGACATACTGCCTTCATTCTTTTGAGCAATTCCTT